GGTCCGGCCTACCGTATTCTGCATCCTCACTCGCTCAGACGTGTAAATTAACCCTGCAACGGGACTCATGGGTCATTCGTGTCCTCGGTGTTTTGAAAATCCCTGTTTTGTGAATCCCTGGGAAAACCATTAGACCCGGGCCCTTTGTAGTGGTATGTAAAAAAAGTTTGGGGTGAGGATAGAATGTGGCCGCCAGCGCGCCGAAATCCACCAGTGTACCTGCGACTGGCAGCGAGAACGAATCTCCGAAAGGCACGAGTGACCCATGAGTCCTACTAACGCATGTAAAATCCGTTTTAAAAAAAAGTTTTTTTACAAATATGTTTCTTAACTCGTAATATAAGTGTTTTTAAAGGTTTGAAGTCGATAAGTGCGAAAATGAGTCTAAAATATGTAAAAATATGAAAATATGAGTCTAAAATAGCGACAGAATGCCAAAAAGAAAAAGGTATCACTTCTGCCCAACCAAAACAGACAGGAAAACGTTCTTCTGCTGTTAGAAATGCAAAGAACCGGTTTGTGACGATCATCGACTTGCGTGCTGTCCAGAATGCTCGTAAAATTTCAAATGATGTAACATTATGTTATTAATTATGTAATTTTATGTTAATTTCATATAAATGCCAATACTTGACAACTTACTTACAGAGTTTTTCATTTTAATCATCCATATCTTATATTTTTCAGTATTAGGTTTCATAAGCCACCATTAGAAGATAAACGATATTCAACTCTCAAAATAAATACCCTTTTTAAAAACTGGAACTTTTCTATATTTTTTTCTTAAAGTACCTACCCTTAAGTAAAAAGTCCTAGTTGGATTTTTTTTATAAACTAATTAACAAAAGTTATGAATTTTATAAACTTACTCCGATTTTTTCCATTTGCCTTCGTTCAAAATCAAAATTTTGAATGACAAAATAATCTTTATTATGTTTTTATTGTTGTGATTGATAAATAAGATGTCAAGGAACATCTATGAATTTTTTCAGAATTATTTGTTTACTTTAAGGTTATGTAAATCATCGCGGACACCAATGACCCATGAGCCCCGTTACCGGCGGTCGAAAAACAGAGTCCCGTTGCAGGGTTAATTACTCGATAACTATTGTTACTTTTGTACCGCGGCACATGACATTTCTCCTTAGTTTAACCCAATCTACCACTATTTTCAAGTTGGCTACTTTTGCATCAGACACCCTGTATAGTTTCGAGTTATGCGCCATTGAATATATGCGGCGCACGCGTGAAGGCGCTTCGAGCGCGGCGGATATAGGATTCGCAGTGCATGCGACAAGGATAATTAGGAAGCTTTGCTTTTGTTTTATGTGTATGCATCTTTTGTTTTAAGTAAGTAAACGAGGAGACAGACAAGTCGGAAGTCCGAGCCCGCTCGTAAGGGGCAGCAAAAAAGTGCTTCTGTAACACTGAGTCTCGTCGATCCTTTGAACCCTACGATCAAGTACACAACAGTTATAATAATATCATCAAATGGCGCCAACTAAAATGGATATTTATAATATATTTTATACAAACCAGATACTTTATTATTTTTGATATTAAAATTTTACATTCAAACAATCGAGCATAAAAACCAGAAGAAATAAAGGAGATAATAATATTAATGAGACAAATTTTTAATACTTATTCAATGAAAATATAATGCAAACCTATAATGGCCTTTTCTAATTTAATTGTTGGTTACATATCAGTTCTGATTTACGACATTATTGTTTATTTAAAAAATTTGGCGGTACTATAAACTGCTAAAATATACAATCTAAACTTACAATTAATTCTAATTCCTAATTCATACCCACACATGCGCGCGCGTAAACGCACACATATACACAAAAAAAAGAGAAAATTTAATACTTGTAAGGAAGGAGGAAGAACGCAATTAACATTTGGTTTAGCAACGCTTACTATATGTATAATATTATACTTGGCGCAAGACCCTATCGTGGCTCTTGATAACAGCTCTTTTCTTTGCATAATTTTCCTTTGCGTATTAACTTTCCTTTACGGTGAATATAACTTTTTTTAGCATAAACATAGCTCTTTCCTTTGCAGAATTCCTACGAGCGCTTTGACGGATTCGTGGTCCTTCACGGCACCGACACCCTCAGTTACACCGCATCCGCCCTGTCCTTCATGCTCGAGGCTCTGGGCAAGATCGTCATCCTGACCGGCTCGCAAGTGCCGATTTTCGACACGAGAAGCGACGGCCTGGACAACTTCCTCGCGTCTCTCGTGATCGCGGCGAATTACAACATACCTGAAGTGTGCGTGTTCTTCGGTACGCGTTTGTTGCGCGGCAATCGCACAACCAAGGCATCCGCGACATCCTTCGAAGCCTTCGAATCACCGAACATTCCACCCCTCGCCACGGCGAACATCAAAATCGAAGGTTGTCTCACAGGTTCTAAATCAGAGCATGATCCCTCTGACAATGAGATTTTTCTACAGTCTTAAAAGATAAACAACCACAAGTATTTGAAACCTTTTTTAATAAAAAAGGTTTAAAAAGACGCCAAGTATAAGCGTCATCCAATCAAGAATTATATAATTTAATTATGAATATCTTTTATTTGGATAATGGAATTTGGATATTTTTATTTAAAAAAAAATTTTTTTTCTCCCTCCCTCCAAAGTGTCTTCTCTACAAAAGTAATGATGTCATCAAATGGCGTCAACTAAACTGAATATTTATAAAAACTAGGTATTTTATTGTTTTTTATATTAAAATGTTATAGTCAAACAATCGAGCATAAAATTTTACCGGAGGACATAAAGGAAATAATAATATTAATGAGACAAATTTTTAATACTTCTTTCATAAAAATTTTATGCAAACAAATTTAATACAAATAAATATTTTATTAAAAGATCGCTTTTTTAAATTTAATTGTGGAATACATATCGATCCTGATTCATGACATCATTGTTTATTAAAAAAACTTGGCGCTGCTAAACTGCTGAAATATACAATCCAAGGGGGAAACCGCTGAGGGCATTGTGGTGTACAGATTTGCGGCATTACTGGGCATTACTAGGGCATTTTTTGGGCATTACATCTTGCTGGGGCATTATAAAGATAAAATAAGATAAAATAAGATAAAACAAGATAAATAAGATAAAAGAAGGTGGTTGACGACCACGTTTCTTAAAGTTCGTGTATCGTGAAAATCGTGAAAAATTGGTCACGTTAGACTTTACATCGCGATATCTCTGCTCTTACAATTAGAGCACGTAGGCAAAAAATATAATAAAAACACTTTTATTATGCAAATCGTACCCAAGCTATCGATTGAGTTGTTAGAAGTTCGTCGGATCTGCCGTTGTTGAGATTCGAAAATCTGTGGGCCTGTCACCTCGCATACTCGCGTAAACTACACCCGGTCGGTCTCGCTTATACTTGGCGCGAGACACTACCGTGTCTTGTGATGTTACTGAATTATTATACCATATAATCTATCGTTGCTCGAACGATATTCTTTTCATTATCAATTGTTTGCAGCCTCTACAAATTGACATATTTCTTTTCTTTAAGGCAAAATCGAATTTACAAGACATTCTAAGAATTTCAAAACTGACATTTCGCAGTGGACTATCGCTCGATTTTCCGCCCTTGTACCATGGAGAAGTTCTATGTACACGCGTCGCTCAATCGAAACGTAGGCCTGCTGCGGCTGTTTCCCAGCATCACGTCCGACCTGGTTAAGGTATTTCTTCAACCGCCAATCGAGGGGGTCGTCCTACAGTCCTACGGCGTGGGAAACGTCCCGACAAATCGCGACGACATCATCGAGGAGCTTCACGCGGCGACGAAGCGCGGTGTGGTTGTCGTGAATATCACGCAATGCGCGACCGGATGCGTCTCGGACGCATACGAAGCTGGAAAACTGCTGCAAAAAGCTGGTACAATGAATCAATACTAAAGTATAGATTCAGGAGACAATTACAAGCTAAATACACAGGAGTTATTCGTCTAAATATTCTACATAATACTGAAGTTAAATCCTCCTGGACATTTTATATTATCGATCTTAATTCTTTTTAATATTATAGATACACGTGGATAGAAATAAGTTGGTCCAAGTTCTAGTTCCGAGAAATGTGTAGCCAATCAATTTTCAGTTATTCCATAAAAGCTGCAAGTTGATTGACTACACATTTTTCAGAACTAGAACTTGAACCAAGTGCATCGTGGATACAAGCCATAACATGGTCGGGCTCTGACCGTGTAGATCTTTGTGCCTAATAATTAAGGAATTCCCAATTATGAGACAAGTTCCTAATACGAGGTAATGGGATTTCTGTTAAATTAACAAGCATCATCTATTGGTTCCACCATAAATTTATTGCTCTTGAAGTGAAATCGAATGGAAAATTCATTGTTAGATCGTGTAATTGTCGTGAAAAAAAATTTGTGATTGAATTTGGACATTGAAAACCTACTCTCTCACATTAGAAGCCCATCTCATAATAGGGAACTTTCCAATACTATTAAGTGAAATTCATGTACATTTTTCTTAGCGCAGACTGCGTGCCGTTACTGTCGTTCTTAAGATGCAGTCCTAAACTTAAGCTGAAATAGTGATACAATCACATAATTAAATTGATAGTCATTTTAATAATACTGATACTAATAAGCTTCTTTAGAATCGTTACAAACAAATTAAGAAATTAGGAGTATAAAGGAAATGTGTTAGTAAATATGAATGTGAATATTATCCAATTGATGATCAATTTAATTATGCGATTATACTATTTCAGTTTTAGTTTGTGACTGCGTTTTTAAACCAACAGTAATGACACGTAATCTGTACTGGACTAAAAAATATATATAAATTTTATGCAATAATATTATTAGGCACAAACATCCAACCCGACCGTGCAAGCTTTATCTCTATCTACTTGATTTATTATACATGGCACATACCGGCCAAGGTCACTTATATTGTTTAAAATTCTTTATCTTTCCGTTAAACTTCTCTCGGTAAAATTGTGCGCTCAGTAAAGGTCTTAGAGAATGTTACGCAAAACTTGTGTGATAATGCGTGGCACAGAGTCATATAAACATAAATATTTTCCTGTTGATAATGCTCAAAATAACGATAGTGTTACGTACTATTTCCAAAGAAACTTTATGACTTATTTGTCACAGTAATTCGCTATTAATATTGCAGGTGTGATACCGGGTTTTGATATGACACCGGAGGCTGCATTAACGAAACTCGCGTACGTCTTATCAAAATACGATTGGGACACAGAGACCAAGCGGCAAATAATGCAAACGAATTTACGGGGCGAGCTGACCGCCGGTCAACCGCCGACTATACAGGACTGGGATTTGGTGGAAGCTGTCGCTAGGTCCTTGAGATTATCCTCTGTTGCGGAACTTCAGGAGCTGGGATCGATTCTGTTCCCGGCTATGCTGAACGCCGCGGTAGTTAGACGTGACGTCGTCAAACTCGAGTCTTTAATAGGATACGTTAGTACATTAACATTTGCTTCATTACACGTTAATTAAATTTTCCTCAAGTAACAAAATCTCCAAAATACAAATCTTCAAGAGCCTGATCTACAACGTGCTCTTTACGTCTAATTGTAAGTCTAGAAACATTCTATTTTATATAAGTAAGTCAAAACACTTACGAATATCGACAATATACGATTGTACAATGGACACTAAGGCCGGTATTTATAGTCAGATCTTATATTCAAGTCCGTCTTAAGATCATCTTTAGATACTCCGTAGCCAATAAAATGTTTCATACAGTATCTTTAGATAAATTCATGACAGTCTTGAATAGAAGATCTGACTATGAATACCGGCCTAGGAATCACTGATGCCTTCCCATATGAATTTAGGCATATACTAAGGGGATTCTAAAGCCGCTGGCGAACTCAATCAGTGTCGATAAAATAGGAGACGGTATTAAAAACGTTAATTATCGACTTCGCGTTCACGATGCTAGAATTCAGTCCGAGAAATTTATAACCAACCAATTTGCAACTTTTACAGAAAAGCAGAATTTTTATTAGGTAGACATTGCCCAGACCTAGATTTTAGATCGAATTCATGGAGAATGTATAAGGAGACCGAACTGCCCGTAATCAGAGTGGGCTGACATTTGTAACAGCCAGTCGTTCTGAAAAGAGATTACTGGGAGCGCTGTTATCAACTAACTCCATTCGCATTCGTACGTGACACATGGTTGTCATATGCATGAAGCTTTCGTGGTTATATTAATGATAGAGTATGAGAGGTACGGGAAAAATAGATTTTGGATATACAATAAAATAAAATAGAATAAAAATGAATTCCTTGAAACTGCGCATTTTACAAGTTTCGATACGTCCAATCCGTAAATAAGATGAGGAGATGGATTGTGTATCTCTGAAACTTGTGAAAATTACAAAAGTGAGTGAATTCACAGGTTGAAATTAGAAATATTTTATAATAGTATTCACTCACTTTTGTATTTTTCCTAAGTTTCAGAAATCGACCCCCAGATAACAAAGGTTATACGCTGTATCTACGAGTCAGTGAGATCAAGATCGGTAAACTCATGGGCGAATTCTTAATCGCGTAAGGCGACGCCAGCGCTGAAAGTGGCAAAATTTTGATTCACTGGCTGGTAATAATGTCGACCCATGTTCGGTGACGTGATCCAGACCTAGTTCGGTCTCCTTATACATTCTCCATGATCGAATTCCAGTATCGTCAACACCATGGCTTTATTGACAATCCTGACAATCTGGCAGATTGTCCTCTCTCGAAAAAGGGTGCAACTATTTCTACACGCCATACTGCTCTTTTTCTCTTCTTCTAGACTTGGATTTCTGGACTTGCGTTTATTAGAAATAATCGCTCTTTCTAAGCTATTAATCTTAATTGTAATTGCACGATATTGTTCTTAGTAAAAACCTTTTTTAAAAAAAAAGTAAAAAAAGCACCAAGTATAAGCTCCAATTCAACCGAATATATTTTGTTACTCTTTCTTTTTTGCAAAAGTATATTCTCTACAAAAATATCTTCTCAACAAAACTTTCTTCTCTACAAAAGTAATGATATCAACAAATTGCGCCAAATATAACAACGGACAATTATACAAACTAGTTGCTTTAGTATTAGTTTTTGATTAAAAAATGTTATATGTCTTAAAAAATCAAACTAAAGATTTTATTGAAAAAAATAATGGAGTTAATAATAAAACACCGATGAAAAGGATAGCAACTGTTTAGAAATTTAGAAACTCTGTATCTATTCAGGCGAATTAAGGCCTGTGTCCATGACGCTAGTACTTGGTCCAAGTTCTAATTCCGCGAAATATGTAACCAATCAATATAGCTGTTCCACAAAAGCTGCAAGTTGATTGGCTACGCATTTCTCAAAACTAGAACTTGCACCAAGTACTAGCATCATGGACACAGGCCTTAATTCGCCTGAATAGATACAGAATTTCTAAATTTCTAAACAGTTGCTATTCTTTTCATCGGTGTTTTATTATTAACTCCATTATTTTTTCCACTAAAATCTTTAGTTTTTTAAGAAATATAACATTTTTTAATCAAGAACTAATACTAAAACAAGTTTGTATAAATATCCGTTGTTATATTTGACGCAATTTGTTAATATTATTACTTTTGTAGAGAAGATAGTTTTGTTGATGAGAGAAGATATTTTTGTAGAGAATATACTTTTGCAAAAAAGATAGAGTAACAAAATATATTCGGTTGAATTGGAGCTTATACTTGGTGCTTTTTTTACCTTTTTATTAAAAAGGTAAGTTTTTTACGTGATATCACACCTTTTGTAGTGTGTAATATCTCATACTGTACTCTTTACTTGGCACAAAACTCGACAATTTTAGAATAATATTATCACAGCCCCGGTGGTCGAGCTGGCTAAGACGCCCGTCACGGATTGAGAGGTCCCAGGTTCGAATCCTGGCTGGGATAATATATTTCGCAATAAGAATTTTAATTCAATAGGGGAAAGGGTAAAATAATGCTAAGTATAGCATTAAAATTAAATTAAAATAATTTGAATAAATCGCTCTGCGATTTTTAGAACACGTGAATTCACTGACGATAATGATCCCACCTCGGGGAAATCTGTGTTATATGCAGAGTTGTAAACCGAACCGAACCATTGAAGTGTATCCGTTCCGAGAGAACGGATCAAAATTTCATTTATAAAATCGTTCCGATCCGGAACGAACCGTTTTTTATTATGATTTAAAACGCTCCGGTTTCGAACCGGAGTATGAAAAACCGGTTTTGGAGCGGTTCCTTTATCTAAAAAGGATTTAATTTATTTAAAAAGATTTACCACGTTTGAGTCTTTGCTACATAGCTGGAGAGGTGGTAAATGTGCAAATTTCACCAGTTCGGTTCGATTTGCATTCCAAGTTCTAAATAATTTACTTCATTCATTCGGTTTTCGGAGCGGTTTTTAAACTCGAACCGGTTCAAAACCGCTCCAAAGAACGTATTTATGCTCCGTTTTACAATCTTATTCGCTCCTTTCTCTCGTAGCATATAACTTCAATGGTTCGGTTCGGTTTACATCCCAAGTCCCAAATAATTTACTCCGTAAATTCATCCGGTTTTCGGAGCGGTTTTTAAATTCGAGCCGGTTCGAAACCGCTCCAAAGAACGTATTTTTGCTCCGGTTTACAACCCTGGTTATATGTGCGATAGTAACGGCGCGCAGTACAGGGTGGGATAATACGGTATATGATTCACCTAGCAATATAACGGCCACCTTGCCAGGTCCTAAAAATATGGCGTTTAAGTTTCAATTTGATTTCGGTCAGAAAAGGACCGAGAAAATATTAATTGTAGTTTATACACACGCGGCCGTGAAAGCGTTCAAAGTAGTATACATGTTAATGCGAATAATATTATCACACCCAGGCAACCAGCTGACGTCGTAATGACGTTAATATAAGGTCAGTTGCTGACCTGTTCGACGTCAGTTTATGACGTGATATTAACGTAATGACGACGTGAGTTTGTCTTGTCAAAAATGACGTCAGATTAATGACGTTTACTTACGTCATTAACCTGCCGTAACGTGATTAACTTGACGTTTTATTTACGTCATAAATCATGTTGTAATACGTAATAAAAACGTAATATACACGGAGAAAAATAATTTGCTGACACAGCAGATTTTTTGGGATATAATTGTTAAATTGTGTTAAATCACATAGTCATCAAAAGTATATTCAGGTTATTGAGGTCTATCCATGATCCAGACAACTCGCTCTCACATCATATCGGCTCGCCTTTTATACTAATACGGGACGATTTTTACTTACGAGAAAGACGCGCCGGTCGCCACGTCGCGGCAGTATGTGGTACTAGTGCTATCTATTCAGGAGGGAATCAGGTGTTAAATAACAATTTAAATAACGTCATTATGACGTCTTACTTACTTCTTCCAACTGACGTCACTCCAAAGACCAATAGTTACATCATATATGACGTATACTTATGGCGTATACATATACTAACGTCATTGTTATGACGTTTAAAATAACGTCAGTTTAGGTCATAATCACCAATTGGTGACAAAAATCACGTTAATTTACGTCATTACGACGTCAGCTGGTTGCCTGGGCAGCCCCGGTGGTCGAGCTGGCTATGACGCCCGTCACGGATTGAGAGGTCCCAGGTTCGAATCCTGGCTGGGATAATATAATATTTCGCAATAAGAATTTTAATTCAATAGGGGACAGGGTAAATTTATAATGCTAAACGATAAAAAGAATTGGTAAATGTGCATAAAAAGACCCCACCTTCCGATTACCTTGATCTTGACATATGTTGTCAAGGTCACCCTCCTGAGTAACTCTTAGAAGTTTTT